CCCCATTCAGGGCACTGAGCTCCCCCCAACCCCCATTGCCACCCTACCGCCCAGCAATGCCAGGGCATGCTAGCCACAGCCTGCTGCATGTGCCAGCTCTGGCTCAGCCTGCTTTTTCTCTGCCCCATAAAGCATAAGCAGGACTGGATACATAATCTCCAGGGCCCAGTGTAAAGTGGAAATCAGGGTCCCTTGTTCCAAATTATTAAGAATTATGAAATGCATAAATCCTAATTGAGGGACATTCTACAAAAGACCCAACGAATAATCCTCAAAAATGTCAAGGTCATCAAAAACAAGGAAAGACTGAGAAACTGTCACAGCCAAGAGGAGCCTGAGGAGTCACAATGACTGTATGCCATGTGGGATCCTGAATGGGATCCTGGAACAGAAAACAGAAGGACATTAGGTAAAAACTAAGGAGATCTGAATGAACTTTAGCACATAATAATGTATCAATGGTTCATTAATTGTAGTAAAGGTACCATGCTAATATAAGATGTTAATAATTAAGGAGACTGGTTGAGGGGCATATGGGAACTTTCTCTACTATATTTGCAATTTTTCTGTAAAACTAAAACTTCTAAAATGAAAAGATGACCTTTTAAAAATTCACAATAAAAGAATTTTGAGAAGGTGACAGCAGAGGCAATAAATATAACTTATTTATTCATTAATGTCCAAGATAGAATTGAGATTTGAATCCGGATCTGCCTGAGCCCAAGGCTTTTGTGGCTAACTGCTTATACTGCCTGAAGAGCAGTGAGAAGACCTAGGAGGGGTTGGCGGAGAAGACTGGGGAAGCTGGATGGAAGAAGAAGGTTGTTACAGTACTTAGTAGAGGTTAAGAGTCCAAGTTTAAAGACCCAGGCCACGTACAGTATGATTCCATTTATATGAAATGTCCAGAAAAGGCAAATTCATACAGAAAGTAGATTAGTGGGTGCCAGGGGCTGGGGAGGGAAGAATAGGGTTAATGGTATGGGGTTTCTTTTGGAGGTGATAAAAATGTTCTCCAATTAGGTAGGGGTGATGGCTGCAAAGCATTGGGAATATACTAAAAACCACTAGATTGTGCACTTTAAAATGTTTAAAATGGTACTTTTTATTTTTTTGAGACAGTATCACTCTGTCGCCCAGGCTGGAGTGCAGTGGCACAATCTCGGCTCACTGCAACCTCCGCCTTCTGGGTTCAAGTGATTCTTGTGCCTCAGCCTCCCGAGTAGCTGGGATTACAGAGTGCGACACCATGCCCGGTTAATTGTTGTATTGCTAGTAGAGATGGGGTTTCCCCATGTTGGCCAGGTTGGTCTTGAACTCCTGACCTCAAGTGAGCCGCCCGCCTCCGCCTCCCAAAATTCTGGGATTACAGGCGTGAGCCACCGCGCCCAGCCTAAGAGATTTAGAATCCTACCTGACACATAGCAAGCACTCAACCTTAGCTCTGATAATATTATTACAAAGAGATGGTAAAGCATTAAGGACTTCAGGCTTAGGCGCTTCCCTTCTCCAGGGTCCAGGTTTTTGGGGTCCGTTCTGGACCGAACGACTCAGGGAAGACACGTGAACTCATTCCCAAGCCTTCCCACTCAAGATCCTGCAAACGGAGTCGTCTGAGAGCCCTCTACCCTGACGACCCGGGGCAAGGACCCTGTCGGGGCGGCCCCAGGTGGGATGGGGCCAAGACAATTCTCCCACTGCCGGAGGAGGAAGACTGGCGGCCACCGGGAAGCGTAAGCGGCAGCGCGCCGCCTGGTGGCACCTTCGCGCACACGGTCCCGGAGGAGCGGGAGGCGTCAACCCCAAGCCGCCAGCTACTCCTGCCAGGAGCCCCTATAGCTGCTTTTAAATCGTAATTGTTATCAAATAGTGAGTTTTTATACAGTCAGATTATTGGCCTTATTATTCTTAATCCTGTGAAGTAGTCATTATTCCTGTTTTACAATTGAGGAAACTGATGCTTGGAAAGTTTCAGTAACAGGCTTAAGATCCCCCAGCAGGTAAGAACAGCCCCCAGGTCTAGGGCCACAGCTGTCCAGATCCAGAACTCTTTCCTACACACTCCTGTGGTTTGAGAGAAGTGAGGGTAGCCGGTGGAAGCATCTGCAGTCCCCACTAAGGGTCAGAACTGGCTCTGGGACTGATTTCAAAGCAGATCTATGCCACAAAGCCTGCTCCACTTCCAGCCTCAGAACCCCCAGACCTGGGGAAGGTGGGTCTCACATAGCAACTCTGTAGGCCCTTTGACCATCAACCCCTTTCTCCCCAGCCTTATTAATGTACCCACTCAACCAACGTTGCTTGCATCCCTGCTATGCCAGAAACTGTCTTCAGTGCTAGATATATCGTGGGGAACAGGGAACACAGGGCCCCTGACTTCAAGCAACTCACTACCTCGTCCTCATGCTTAACCCTAGCAGGACGCCTTTGCTGTGAGGCCCACGGCACTGGGTTTGGGAACACCCTAGCAAATCTTAATCCTGCTCTCTTAATGTGTCATCCCATGGGCAGAGACCCTGCACATTCTTCACCCATCCCAGGGAAAGTTATGGCTCAGGGGGAGTCTGACTTCCTCTGAAGCCCCCACCCTGGCCTCAGCTGAGAGCCTGCATTCTCGAGATGCCAGGGCTGGAGAGGAACCACATCTGCAACCGCTCAGCTGCAGGTGGCTGGAGAAGGGCCAGAGACTTGGTACAGGAGCAGGGGCACAGAGCAGTTACAGAGAGATTCCCAACATGCAAAGTCCCCTGCCCTGATGCTGGAGTCCTGGAGGGAGAGCAGGGCCCAGGACCTCCCATGAGTGTATTTCAAGAATTGAGAGAGTGGTTAGGCTGCGAAGGGAAGTGGGGCAGGGACTGGTAGGAGAGGGGGTAATGCCCTCCTTTTGCTTGCCCCCTATCCTCAGTCTCCCTTCTCTGCAGCCAGGAATTAAACAAAGACATGAAACCTGATACTTGGACTAGAAAGGCCTGCTGGGTACACTTTACCACCTAAACAGCAAAGTTCCAAGGACTGGAACTTTTTAGAAAAATCTCCAATACCCCACAGGCCTGAAGGAGAGAGAGAGAGAACATGCTGTGGTCTCTGCGTGCTGCCCCTCTCTGCTGAGGTCCCTGCTGAGCTCTCCAGCATAGGCACAACCTTGACCATGTGCCCGCATCCAGGGGATGACAGATGTGGGTCTTGGTACAGGCGTGCCTGTATGTGTTTCCTGGCAGTAGTTAAGTATCTAAATATCTATTTGTCTTGGCAGTCATCTGCCTATTCATGTTTTTAGCTGTGTGCGCCTGTGTGTTTGCTTTTTTAGGCATACATCTTTGGTATGTGGGTGTCTTTGGAGTGGGGTGCCTATTTGTAGGTGTGATGTTTCTGGAAGATGAAACATCGCACCTGTGTCTTTGTCACATGTTTTCGTGTGTGTACCTTTGCAGGTGTGTATGGGTGGGTAGGTGTGTGTGTGCATGTGTATTTGCAAGGTGGAGTTGTTTGGCTGTGCTGAGCTGTTGACTGTCATCCACTGCCCTTGCCTGGGCTGTCAGAGGCCAAGCTAAGCAACCTACCTTTGCCCCACAGCAGCCTTTCTCAATTGACGGAAGTCCTTCCCCCAGGGAGTCCAGGTCCACCCGTTGCCACCCTCCTGATGCTGGGTGCCCAGTTAGGGAGATGTGCTGATGGCATGCACGACCTCCCCCAGATACTCCAGACCCGGACTTGTGAGGGGAGTGTGTGTGGAGAGGGTACTGGGTAGCCCTGCCTTCCCCTCACCTCTGGGGAAACAGCTAGGACAGTCCCCTTCGCACAGCCCAATCCATCCCCAGGGAAAGTGTTCGAGGGAGGCTCCCCCGTTTAAAGGGTTTCTTTCCAATCCCATCTCCCCTGTCCCCTATGCTCAGTCACTCATTCACTCCAAGCAGTGTGATCTCTGGCAGGTGGCTTTACACCTCTGTGCAAAGTCCTCATCTGTAAAATGGGATGTAAATGGTGCTTACTTCAGAGGATTGTGAGAATTAACTGACATGATGCATACAGAGTGCTTAGCCCTGTGCCTGGCACAGGGAAGGTCTTTGCCTATGTTAGCTGATCCCCTTATTCTGACCTCTCTGGGTTTCAATCCCAAGACACTGCCCATCCTTCAAACCTCACCTGTCCCCACGTGCTCCTCGGACCACCCGTGGCTGGTTAGGACTTTCCCCCTGGAATCAGACTGGCTGGGAGGGGAGAATCTTGGAAAGAGATTATTGATATTGCACTGCAATTTCCACACAATTTTAAACATTTAATTATATACCCCCTTATGAAATAGTTATCCTTTTCCTCCATTTTACAGATGATGATGAAGGCAGCATCCGAATTGTTAAGTAACTTGTTCAAGGTCACACAGCAAGTAAGGGGCAGAGTCCAAGTTTACACTGAGGCAAAAATGGCTGTCCCACTGTCACGTAGGATGCTGGTTTACAGCAACCCAGGATCAGAGTGCTGGAGGGTTTCCAGGGGTCTGGTTAACAGTTCTGCCGAAGATCATACAGACAAGCAGAGCCAGCCAGGACAATCCTAATCTATACCCAGCTTCACATTGCTGTAAGCCCCAGCGTAACCAGGACTTGGGTGTTCTCATTTTGGGAGCTTTTTTTGGAAAGATCTCCACATGTGGAAGGCAGAGCGCATACTACAGACAGGAGAGTCAAAAGTGAGAGTCCTACATTCAATCAGAGGAGAAAGCTGACATGGCCAAGCCAAATGAAGGCTCAAAGCCAGATTTCCTTAATTTGGGCAAGCGAAAATTGGGCCGCCTCCACGTCCAGTCATTCTCCAGGGGCCGGGTTTTTCAAAGCTCTGCGCCCGCCCAGTGTCTCGAGAGGAACCTCCCCCGGGGTACCCCAGCTCTGTCGCGGCCGCGCCCAGATGGCCGTCGGGTTCCCCCTCAAGACCCCCCTGCCGACTCCGCCCTCTGCCGGCCAGGCCCCGCCCGGCCGCTCGCGGTCCCCTCGGCTGACGAACTCACTCCTGCGAGCGAGCGGCGGCGCTCAGCATTGTGGCAGGCGGCTGGGGCCGGCTGGGGCGCCGGAGCCGCAGGCAGCCGCGGGGCTCCGAGAGGCGCGCACAAGGGCTGGGACTGCGCGGCGCCGCCGCTGCGAGCGCCACTGAGCGGTCGCGCAACTTCGGAGCCACAGCGCCGGAGCTAGGCGAGCGCTCGGAGACCCGGAGCCAGAGGGGCGCGCCGGAGCCTGGTTCGAGAGTCGGCGCCAGGCACCCACCGCGCTCCGAGTGCCAGGGGGCCCTCCGCGCAGCGTGGCTGCCGCTGCCCCCACGGAAGGCACGGGCTGGCGAGGCTGGGCGCCGGGGAGGACGGCGAGGAGGCGGCGGCGGCGGCGAAGACGGCGGCGGCGAGGCTGGGGCCAGGGAGACAGCCCCTGGGGAGAGGCGCCCGAACCGGGCCGCGGGAGCATGTGGACCCGGAGCGGAGCTCGGGACGCGCTGCTGCTGGCACTGCTGCTCTGCTGGGACCCGAGGCTGAGCCAAGCAGGTAGGAAGCGATCGGGCCTGGGGGCACGGGGCTAGGGGACCCTTGTGCCTCACTCTACCCTGAAGTTGAGGTGGTCTTTCGTCGCATCGATGCGCGCAGGGAAAGCGGCAAGGGCGCCCAAGTTAGAATGCAGATTTTACTGCCTCCCGAAGTGGGCAATGGCGCATCCACATAGCGGGAGGGGGGCGCAGGGAAGGGGGTTCACAGTAAACTGAAAACTCCCTGCTCGCTCCTGAAAGGGATCCCTTCTTCTCCCTGGAAGGGGTGTCGGAGTCAGGGTCTGAGTCTCCGGGAGGATCCGCCTCTTGGGGACCCCCGGCTCTCCGCGCGCCTGGCGTCCGCCCCGAAAAAAAATCTGTGGCTACATAAGCAAGGTGTGCGCTCGCTGCCTTATGCCAGTAACTTACTAGTCTGGTCCCGGCTCGCCTAGGCTCTTACACGCTATAGGGACACGAATCCGCAGACCAGAGGGAGAGAGCGAAAGACCTGCTGAACACGGGAAGGGCTCCGGCAGCCGGGGGAGGCTGGCTTGCAGGGCTCCTGACGCGGGGAGGGCTAAGTCCTGCACACATAGCTTTCCCCGAGATCGCTGGGCCCGCAGGTCTGAATTTTTTTTTTTTTTCTGAATGTTGGGGTGTGTGTGTGTGTGTGTGTGTGTGTGTGTGTGTGTGTGTGTTGGATGCGGGCGGGGGCTCCTAGGGATCCTGCGGAGTTTCCTTTTAAATGGGTCACTGACATTCTCGCTGTCCAGGGAACAGACTAGGTGCGCTCTCCTTGGTACAGCGCCCGCTCTGGACCCACAAAGATGACTTCAGCGGACTGGTGGGCTCCTGAAATAAAGTCCCTAATCCGCCTCTCTCGCCGTGGATGAATACGTTTCTCGCTCGTCCTGTAACTGGCCCCGGCGTCGCTGGCTGGGCTGCGTTTTCCCGGGGAGGCTGTGGACTGACTGGAGCCAGCCTCTCTCTGGTACCTGAACCCAAGCAAGTGGGCTAGCCACGGCCGCCGGGCGCCTCGGCTCCGGAGCCGGGTGGGGACGGGGACTCCTGCACGGAGTCCTCTCTGAGTTGAGGCTGAGAATGGAGCAGGAAAACTGGAGCAGAAAGTGGACGAGATGACGCAGCCCTCCCCACCTCCTACCTCCTGCTGCGATGTTGACATCCGCCCTTCCCCCCTCCATAGCCAAAGATTCCTCATTCTGGAATTAGTGATTCCCACGGCCAGGAGTAAGAGCTTGGCTTTAGCACATTCCCCACTTTTTTTTTTTTTTTCCTGGTGCAAGTCCTGTGCAGTAGAGTTACAACACTCAACCATTTGATCCAACTTAATTATGATTTGGGCAGACTCTGGTATTTAAAGCAGTGTTTTGAAGTTGGAAGGTAATGATGGGGATGGGGGAAGGCAGGCTGCTGAATGTCCAACCTTGTTTTAAAGGGTGCAGTTAGACGTGGGAGGTGCTTGGTTGGGGTGTTGGTTTCTGGTTGGAGGGGGGTTGAGCAGATGATTGAAGGGTAGGGTGAAGTCTCTGTAAATGGCACATGGGCAGGGTTGTGTCTTGGGAAGCTGCTTTTGTACCAGCAGGACAGTGGGATCAGGAATAAATACTTAGGTTACCAGGAATGAGAGGCTGCAGTAGGAGAAAGACAAGACTGGTTGGCCTATAGTTCTCCGGGTGGGTGGGCTTGGCCAGGAAGGCTGGGGGTGGCCTGCATTTCCTGCTTAACAAAGCATCCAGCCCCCACCTTCCCCAGAAGAAACCCCAGGCCCAGGGCTTTGATGGATTTGGGCACGAATGGTGCCCAGTCAGAAATGGCCTCTAATACCCGGCTTTGATTTCTCACTAGCAAGCAGAAGCGGTGTTGGAATTGTGCTCATTACTTAGCGCGGCAGGAGCTGCCTGCCCACCAGCCTGGAGAGGGGCCAACTGGTGGGGTCTGCCTGCAGCCTTCTCATTGCCCAGAATGTGTGGCCCTTAGAAACCTGCCTTCAGGAGGGAGAACATGTCCCTTCCTCCCACACAATCTTTTTTCTCTAATGCCACAGGCACAGAGCATCATTCTTTCAGAATGTTCTTTGGGTTTTTCCAGTGGATCTTTCACAAGCCCCATTTCACTGATGGGGAAAATCAAGGCCAGAGTGTTGGCTTTCTCCAAATCTTGCCTTCACTTGGCCACAGATTGAAGACTTGTGTGAAGGGCTCTTGTCCAATAGCCAGGCTGATTCAAGCCCAGCAGACCCTCCCTCCCATTCTTATCCACCCACCCCTCTGCCATGAGCCTCGTAACAAACTGAGGCAGGTGAGGCTCTCCCTGCAGAGATGGATCTTTACTAGGGGTGTCCAAGCTCCCCTCAAGTGGCAGGCACCTGTCTCCTTTTCCCCACCCTGACCCCATCCCTGGTGAATATGGGAATGAGCTCCCTTTACAGCACTGAGAATTTTTTTAAGCTGTAAAGTCTGATGGTGGAGAAATCAAAACTGGAACCATAAAACCCCAGACCCTTAGAAGGTGATTCAGCAAGTGACTAGCCAGAAAAAAGGCCACTTCAAAAGCTCTGGTTGGCCCTGGAAATCTCCTCCCACCCCACCTTTCAGTCCTTCCTGGAGCTTTTAATGAGCCTTTCCATGGCCTCTGGCTGGGATGGTTGAGAAGGAGTTGAGGTGTCAAGATAATACTTCTTTTTAAGGTGCAATTAAAATAGAGTTTTTGTAGTGTCTCTGCTTGGTGTGTGTGTGTGCATGTGTGTGCTCGCGTGCACGCACTTGAGCACACACAATGGTAGCCTGTCCTCGTCTCCCTCTGCACTCACTGTAGCAAACACCCATCTCACTTAAACAAATGGAAAATCAAGTGTCTTAATGGGTTTTCTCATTAAAGTGAAAGTACCACTGCAGGGGAGCAATTTCTCCTGTAATCTCTCTCCTCCACCTCTCTCCCCTCCCCCGCAAACAGGGAATTCTGTAGGATAAAACAGTTCCCCTCTTTTCCAATCCACTTATTTAACTGTTGACACTTTGGTACAGGCCAACTTGCCCAAGGTCACATTGGGACTCACCGGTAGCACCAGGACTTGAACTGAGGCCTCACAACCTCAGTCTAGTGCTTCTAGCTCCTTCATCCCACCTGGACTGGAGACCCACCATCATGGGTGTGGGCTTGAGACTCTGAAATTGAGGCACCACTTAAGGCAGGCAGCTAAAGATAATATTGCTTCGATGGCTGCTTTAGACTGGAACTCATGGCAGGATGGAGGAAAGAGGTTGAGAGTTGGGAGGGTGGAGAGGTGTTCCAGGAGAGGGGAACAGGGCAGAGCTGAAGGTCTGCCACCAGGCAAGTGCCCAGAGGTGGCTGTCCCGACCCCCAGCATTGGCCTCCTGAGCAACTGCCCTGACCTGGGGAAGGGAGACAGGTCCCAAGTCAAGCTCCCTTGGGCTGCATGGCCAAATAAACATTAGCATTTTAGAGCTCTGCACCCATTTGTAGAGTTGGGGACAGAATATGTTTTTACCTTTTACTTATATTCAAAGCTTTGGGAGCCAGTGTCCTGTCCTCCCCCACCTCTCTTTGTTGTTGAGTTTCTCCTGGACCAAAGGTCTTGTGACCCTTTTCCTGGGTGTCAGGCTTAAGATGAGGCCTGCCTCCTACTCCTGATTCCCTGAGCCACGGAGGTTTTCTAAGGAGGTTTGTGGACTGCCTAAGACTTTGGGGATGGGCTGGGGGGAGGTGGATCCTTTCCATTCCAAGAGCTCTCAGACAAGGTGAGTGATTCTGAATAGACAGTGCTGGGAACCTCCCTCCCCCAGGGCCCACAGGCAGCAGGTCTTTTGACCCTCAGAGTTGGGGTTAGGTGGAAAGCAGACAGCTTGGAGGCCACTGCCGCCTTCAGGAAAGGGCAGAGGGGGCTGGGTCATAGGCTGGGACTTGGGGGTGGGAGCCCGGCCCATGGAAACTGCTGCCTGGGCAGATGGCCCCCAGAGGGTAGGGAAGAGAGAGCCGGCGCTCAGGCCAGAGCTGGCGCTTCTCTGGCGTCCTCCTCCTTCTCCTCCTCACCAGTTTCCTAAACAGCTTCCACAAATAGAGTCATTAAAGCTGTGAAGGCAAAATGAAACCAAACAAGTGCGTTCTGTGCTTTTCTGTTTCTTATTTTTTTAAGGAAATTAAAAATACCGTAATTAGAATAATACAAGGAGAGAGCACTTTCCGGAAGGCCTAGGGTATGGGCACTTCCCACCCACTGGGTTGGCTACAGAGGTTGGGGCTGGGGCGCCACCTCCCGCCCCGTTAGGGTCTGTGATCCGCCGGGGGCGCCGCGGGCTTTTCCCCCGGCTCCATGCATCCCGGCGCTGGCCTCGGCCCCCGACTGGGAGTTGGGTGGCGCTGAATTGTAACTCTGGCCCGGAACCGCCGCAGCCGCTGCGCCCCCGCGGGCAGACGAGCCCGGGCGGAGCGCGCTAAGCCACAGGTCCCCGTGGCGTCCCTCCTGGTCTTCGGGGATGCTAATGGCAGCGAAAATATTTGCTGAAGTGCCGGCATAAATCAGCCGCCTCCCCGCTTCCCCACCCCCACCCCTTTTGTTTCCTCTTCCTTCTCTCCAAAAAGCGCTGGGCTGCTGCGAGCGCCTGAATTTACCTTTTCCAACTAAGCGGCCTGATTAGCATCTCCGCCGCTTGCGGGGCTGGATTCTACCTTCTCTTGCGCCCCCCACCCCCAGTCCCCATCTCCACCTCCCTCCCCAGCCGAGCTAAATCGGTCCGCTGGAGCCCCGGGAGCTCTAACACCACCGCCTAGCGAGTGAGTGCGCGGAGCCGCCCTCCTTCTCACCTCCCAGAACAGGCTGCCCCCAGCGCTTGCAACTTACCCCTTCGCGGCGCCGCACCGCTTGGCTCGCTTCTCCAAGAAGGCAGGCTTGTGGGTGTGAGAGTATGTATTAAGGAGTGTGTGGGGGGGTGAGAATGTGTATTAAGCAGGTGGGCGGAGGTGGGAGTTTGCAGTTGGAGGGGA